TCGAGACTTTTATTTTGACATCTACGTCGCTTGGCTCGAAAGGAAAAGGAAGTAGCGCATGTTCTACACAAGTTTGACCCTTGTGGATGTAACGTTAGAATTTATCATTACCACAAATTCATGCCGTTATTTTAGTGAAATGTACCTCTAAAAGCCGCAGCAATAATTCAGGTAGGTAGAATGCCACTGTATTATGAGGGACCCGTACAAAAGCCTTACGCATAATCCTTTTAACACTGGTTGCAAAGCCGTTGTAGCATTACAAACTGTCAGTGAAGAATATATCCCCTCTTTTTTTTACCATAGAAATGCACAAAATATATTAATTCAAGTGTAGATTTCAAATATAATTTATGGATTGTCTGCATCTTTTTAAGTGTCTCCTCGTTTTAATCGGCCACAGCAGCATGAGACTGACAGCGTTGCTTTCTATGGCAGCAAAAGCTGCATTTCCACACGATTATCGTTATGGCACAAACAGACCGTGGACGATCGCAGCCCAGCGGCTCAATCCACCAGGCAAGAAAAGAAGAAAGGTGCTTGTTGAACCTATTGCAAATGAGGACTGGCATGTCGTGAGAGGAGACACAGTAAGTGATCCTTTCTGTCGTTTACACCTTGAAAGCATTTAATATTTAGTGGACGTTTTGTTACATTTTTTTACTCACCTGACTGATCAGAGGCACATTTTAGCCCACTGAAGGGGCTGTGAGGGAGTGCTAGTAAGTTTACAGAAAAACAGTGGAGGAAAAATGTATAAAATAAATTAGTACTTAAAATAGAATAAAAAATAAATAAAAAAAAGTTAAATTAATGAACACAAAATTTATTAAAATTGATGAATCATAGTAAATGATACATCTAACAGTACAGTACAATAATTTTTCACACTTAATGGGTAAAAATATATGTGTGCCTTTTAAATTTTAGAATGAGGTCCCTATCATTATATCTGGGGGTCCTTGTCATCTAAAAGATGTAGTGGATGTTTTAACACAATTTAACTCTTAAATTCTGCATGTTTTATATTATTTTACAATGTTTATTTATAGAACATACCATTGAAATCTGATTCAAACTAGGTGGAGATTTTGTCTGGAAAGGACAAAGGAAAGCAAGGCAAAGTTGCTCAGGTGATCCGACCTCGAAACTGGGTCATACTCGAGGGCCTGAACACGGTAGGAGTAAAAAAATTTAATAAGATTCTTTTAGTAATAATTTCATTGCAAAGCAGCACTTTTAATTGTCTTAAACGCTCTTTTCCAGCATTACAGGTATATTGGCAGATCTGGAGATTACCGGGGTACTTACATCGCCAGTGAAGCCCCTCTGCTGCTGAAGGATGTTACATTAGTTGACCCTACTGACAGGTGAGCATCAAACATGAAATAGAGTAAGAAATATAAAACAGTGCAATGCATCTGGCTCTTAATGTATGTGTTTGTGTCTAATGTTTTTTAGGAAGCCCACAGATATCGAGTGGAGATACACTGAAGAGGGCGAGCGAGTGCGTGTTTCTGTCAGGACAGGACGGATAATTCCCAAACCAGTCTATCAGAGAAAAGATGGCATCATTCCCCAGCAGTGGAAAGGTGGGGTTTCTGAAAGCTTAAAAACAATGCATTTCTTCCTTTAGTTTTAGACATTTAAATATGGTTCAGTTATCAGAAATCTGAGAGTGTTTATGTACCTTGCAGATGGA